TAGAGTAGATTCATATATGAAGAAACAAACAGTATTGCAAATGACATCACCATTTTGAACTTTTGACAGACTGATGCTCAAGGTTACTCAAAATTTTATTTTAGAAGTTTCTGTGATTCTATTCGAAACATTAAACAAATAAAAATAACTACGAATAGAACATCATTTTAATACTTAACTAATTAGACCCAATAATTAATTAGCTACATACACAAATAGTCTTTCTAGTTAAAAGATTTTAAATAAGTATTCATGCGCTAACTATCGTAATTTTAGAACTTCAAACATTTCTATTTAAAAGATTTACATTTCTATATCAAAATCGTTGTAATGAGTATGGAACGATCGTATCCCATTTCAAATATAAGTTTTCAATCACGTAAAAATATGAATAATTTTAGGAAAATTGGGATGTATGATAGTAAAAAATCATAATTTACTAGATAGTCAATTGACCTACTTTTTCGATACATATAACTTTTGATGTAATAATACTATTTTTTCTCTAAAGACAACCAATAGAACCTGGAGGAAAAAAAAAATTCAATTTATTATATGTCTAAAGGTATTCATGGCATAATTAGATTTACAATATCTCTTTTAATTTTCTTACGTTATTTTTGATAAAGTAAAAGGTTTCCGTCGATGATTTGCTCCACTTCTTTGAACCCACCGATTTGCTCTACATTGTCCACATTACCGGCCTTGTCTGAGTTTATTCGCATTCTCGAAATGTGTTACAAAGGGGATATCGTCTCCACTTCTGAAAGTGGTTGTAGTTACTGTCCAATCGGCGATAAGGAGTAAGCCAAGACTCTTCTCCTTCACATAGGTTATTCATCTCAGATATGTTGTAGATGGAAGAAGATGAACAGTTTCATTATTATGTTCTATTCTATCATATTCATATAAATAGAAAGGTAAAATAATATATATTTCCATATTTTGTTAGGCGATATTGTCTATTACTATATTACTTTGTTCTTAAATTCTAATTATTGTTATATGTTTTTGAACCTGTAAAAATCATATTATGATTTATATTGCATAGTTCAATATTACATAGTAAAATTTGCAATTATATATAGATTATATACCTTTAAATTTTGATATTTGGGTTTAGGATTCATATATATTATAATTTATATTTAGATTTGGGATTAATGGTTTAGTTTTTATGAGTTGAGATAATATTTAGTATTAGAAATTATAGATAATATTATAATTCTATACCACTTTGGCGAAACAGAATATAACACTTCATGCATAAATATGTGATTAATAAGTGTGTGATGTAGATGATCTTTTCTTCTTTTCTATTATATACATTAACTGGCAATTTATTAAAAAAAGGTAAAATTGGCTGAGAAATAGTATAAGTGTATGATATTATATCATGTCAAAAGCAATGTTAGTTATTCAATTTATATTTCATTTATAGTTATTAGGAAAATCTGCCCATAATTTTATGTTTTTTTCAAAAAAAAAGTATAATATTTTTTTTTTAATATGAATAATTTGTTTTTCTAGGTAAAATGTATAAGCTCACATGACTGACGAGGGGAGAGTAAATACGTACTCCAAGACATAAGTGGTCCCTTACCTGTGGCTTGGCGGTGGGTCCACGTCATGTAGAATAGGGAAACGACAAGAGAAAGTAGAATAACCTAAAACAAATTTGTAAAAAGATAAAAAGACTGACGTCACGGAAATAAATATTTTTAGCAGTTTACTAGTACAAAAAGTGTCACTAACCAAAGGTGTAAAGATTTTTTATTTTTTTTAAGGGACAAAGGGTGTAAAGATTTTATTTATAATAAAACATTGGTAGGGTTGCAAAATAGAAGAACTTAGAGCAATTTCAACTCAGAAATTTAGAGGGGGATTGTTTAAACAAAAATATTAAACAAATGAGTGGATCTCAAAAAAAAATATAACTGTTTATTTTGTCTCCGCTCTTCAATTGACACTTGACGATCCACGATTAATCTATTTTTAAATTTTTTTTTTAAATAAAAAAAATTAAAAAAAATTAAACATCCTAATGAGTTGTTAGGATTAAAAATGCTCTTAAAACATCATTAGTCATGGGTTTCTTTACCAAAACCTATCAACATAAATATATTGATGTATAGTAATAAAATAATTATATAGTTAAATTTATAAAAATGAAAATATGGTGTTGACACCTGTAGAAATATCTCATCATTAACCAAAAAGCTCTTCCCACATAGATGTTTATTGTGTTTTCTAAACTCTCTTTCATGTTTCTAATTGTTATATTGATTTTTGTGGTGAGGTACTTATGCAAACTACGGGTGTATCTTAAAAAATTGGAATAAGATACAATATTTGTTAATAGAGTATTTATATCCTCTATATACACAAAACCCTATAATTAGGGATATACCATTTTTCTCTCTATCTTTCTCCTCTCCATATATCACTTTTTTCTCCCCAATTTTCAAGTATCTCTCTGTTTTATGGTATTTAGCCGATTCACGCTATGTTTTATACTAGTTCTAAGACAAACACAAACAAGTGGGTTTCGTTAACATCGGAGCCTTGCGCAAGTGTGCGACGTTAATTTGTTCAAATATTTGCTAGCACATATTTCTTGGCGTGGTTAAAGTGTATCACACACCAAGGCCGTCTTGTGTTTCTGCCCATTAATAAAATAAAATTTTGGTACAAATTTATATTATACTCATATAAAATATCTGCTTCAAACTTTTTTCAGTGTGCAGTAGTTGTTAGTCTACCAATACTTTATTTTATTGATTTATTTGTAAATTATGCTGCACGTTAAAAATATAGGTTAACCACTTTAAACTCTATCTAGCAAGAGCTTTGTCCCCAAATATTTACTTTGTGATATATAAATTTACACACCTGTATCACCCGTATCAATTAGGACGGTGTTGGTGACTCGATAGAATGCTAATAATGGTGGGGATTTTAATTTCGTTTTAAGTGGTTGTAGGTAACGTACCAAACATCCTTATATCACCATTTTAAGAAAAGAGTATTTGTAGAAATATGCAAAATATTGAAATAATGAAGTGACTTTCGTTTGCCCTTTTGGTTTGTGATGTGTATTTTTAGTCGCATAATTTGTAGAATTTAAATTCACAAACCATGCCCTTCGCTATTTTGATAAACACAATGACAGATTAATTCCACTGTATCTAGTGGGGGTTTTTTAGTGGTTTATAATTGTTTTTTTTTTATAATTGTTGTATCTCAAAAGTGTGTGGTTTATACTTTACATCATGCCATCAGGGTTTATTTATTCATCTTTATTTGCCATATATTGGTAGTGTAGTGTATCTTACGACTCAACAAAAATATAAATAAATTATCATTCTTAACTGAAAACCAAACCATTTTGTAATATTTGATATACTACTACTCTTTTATGCATGTAACATTTTTCATCATCAAATTTTAGAGATTACACTGTATCCATTGTCTGTCACGAACATACAACTACGCTATATTGTCCATACACAAGGAAGAGAAGTCGAACATATATTGTTTTATCATGGACTATTCATTTTACTGCAGTATATATATATCAACCCACAACTAGTCACACTCACACCTATACTACATGTAAAACACCGACCTTACTGCACCACTATCATTTTGTAGCCCACCAAGCTCCTCAAAGTCTTCGCCAAAAACGTCACTCATCACGGAAATCTATAAAAAGAGACAAAACGACAGTTTTATTTATTTCTTTTTATCAGGTGTAAAAATAAAATTTTAAACAATACATTTATTATTTTTATCGAGAAAGAAGAAGAGAAGTACACACAAGTAGTCAAGTGATGTCGTCATTACGGTAACGCCTTTGAAAAAAGTAAAAGACCCACGCGCCTGACTCCCCCCGAATCCCCATGATCTCTTTCATCGGCACCCAAGTGCTGGTGGGACCTATGTTTTAGGGAATTTGATTATTTACTTTCACGTCCTTTAGTATTTCTTCTAATTACAATATTGCCGCTATTTTGTTGCTTCCTCTTGTTTTTTTTTAAGTTTGGATATATGTAAATTTAGATATGTATAGTACAAATCTTGATTGTTCCACTATCTTGGAAAGTAACTTTAAATTTGTTTTTGTGAGGTAAAATTATACACAAATTACATATTAAATCAAATATATAATAGAGCAACAATTGTATGTGAATACAACATATATTTTAGTCAAACTGTGCAAACAGTTAATTTTTATTTTATTAAAGATTTTACTCATGTAAATATGTTCCATAGTTTTTTTTTGTTATGAATGTATATATTAATTTCAAGAAATAAATGTTAAGGTTTATAAAGTGCCATTAAGAAAAAGTAAAGCGCTAGACTTGGTTCCAGTAGCAGAGGCAGACATTTAATTTAGAGGAATCAATATGATAACAAATCATGTATTTTGCAGGGGTCAATAAATTAGTTCTTCAGATTTTTCTGTAAAAACAGAAATAAAATTTTTTGTTTGCAAAATTTGACATGGTCAATTGACCTGATTGCTTACTGCCTCCTCCGCCACTACTTGGTTCCATGGTAAAATAGGTTAAAAAGGCAGAACTAAAAGTAGTAACCCAATCCCTAACCTGACTCATCTATTAAAACATAAGGGAGAAATTATTTGTACATTTTTTTCCCTATAAGTTCCTCTGAAACTGCGGGACGAATAAGTCACGAAAAAAATATTTTGTAACGCCTCAAATATTATTCCTTATGTGTCAACAAAGTATTTCTAGAAAATAACAAAAGTGGTTTTCGATTTTTGCTATACTTTCGAAAGAAGTAAAGAAAGGTTTCTGGTTACAACAAAGCCAATAGATTCTCTCAAAATTCGCCCCTTGTTTCCTACTTCCTCTCTCTTAAACCCCAAAAGAAAACAAAATATCTTTTCCTATAAAACCTCTCCGCACTCACACTTTCCTCACAAATCCTCCAACCAACCCACAAAACCTCTCTCTCTCTCAAAAACCAGAAAAATGGATGTTTCAGCGAGAAACCCTTATTTCATTGCAGAAGATGATGATGATGATGATCTGGCTTCTTCCTTATCAGAGATGGAAGCTGGGTTTTCTGGTGGAAACTCACGAAACGATGTCGTTTCACGTCCTTTCTCTTACACTAGAATGAATAGTCTCAGGAACACGAACTATTGTCACAATAACTACCCTTATTACCATCAGTACTCTGTTTCGTCTCCGAGATCTGTCGTTTCGGGAAGATTCCATGATTTCAGATTCGATAATCAACAGCCTCATTTCTTGGATTCTTGTTTCCTTTGTAAGAAACCACTTCACAACAGAGATATCTACATGTACAGGTAAATTTTAGATCTGATTTCAAGTTTCCTCCTTTTATTGAATTTATGAAAAACCCAGAAAAAAAGAAATTTTTTTTAGAATACCCATTTATTTTTTGTCTGAATCAAAGTTTTGATTTTTGTTTGTGTATAATTGCAGAGGAGACATACCGTTTTGTAGTGAAGAGTGTAGACAAGAACAGATAGAGAGAGATGAAGCAGAAGAGAAGAAAAAGAATCTGTCTTATTCAGTGAAAGCAGCAATGAGGAGAAAAGAACAACGAAGCTCTTCTTCTTCTCCGACAAGATCTCGTGATTATGCTCTTCACAACGGTCCTGTTGCTGCTGCTTGAAGTTGCGAATCTGATGATGAGTTTGATGAGTTTGGGAACTATATAATATAATTAGGTTAAAGAAACAAAAGTAGTGAGATTGTGTCTTAAAGTTGTTTGGAAGCTGGTCTTTGGATCGTCTTTTGATCTTTTTTAATCTAAAAGATCAGTTTACTTTCGCTTGAAGTTTTCAAGGGAAAGTAGAAAGCTAAAGATCCTTTTTTAACTCCTTCCTTGTTTTTTTTTCTTTAACTTGGTTTTGGGAGTATGAGAAGAGAGAAGAAATTGTAAATGCCTTGTGTGAATCAACGTCCATGGCATGCTTGAGTTTCTTGTTTCTATAAAAAGAAAAGATATGTAAACACTTAGCAAAGAATGAGAGCTTATATAGAAGTTTATGTTTTTATTGCAAACCTGAGCTTAGTCATTTTTCTTGTTCGGTGGCTAGCATGCTGCGGGTTTGGTTTAGTTTTGGTCAAGGTAGTTCAGTTTGGTTTGGTTAATTCCAAAATTGAAAATGTTAAATCGAAACCAATTACGGTTCTGTTTCAGTTTTAGATTTTATTATCATTGATTTAGATATTTTTTGTTAAATTCAATTAAAAATTAGAGTATTTTTGGTTATTTTTTATAATTCAGCTAGAAAAATATTGTTATAAAAACCAGTTTCGTTTAATTAAAAATGTGTTTCTTACCGGCTTATGTTAAATTTTCACTTCAGTTCAAGTTAAATGAAATTCATAGATGATAAAAAAAAAACCTGTTTCGTTTAATTTGCTGCCATGAAGAGTTGACTTGACGACACTGAGAGGATTCAAAGAAATTCACATTTCAGCGACAACAATAGATATTTCTGCAGTAAATTATGTTTAATCGATACATTTTAACAAAGAAGTTCAAAACGCTAATCATCATCAACATCAAACACACACACAAACCATTCTCTGCATTCACTGTATTTAAATCTCATTTATAAACACACCATCCTTCTACTCATCAGTCATCCCACAACAAATCATAAACCATAAGACTTTATTTTTATATACTAAAACTTGCAAAAGAAATCTTCTTCTAAACTCAAAAAAAAAATCATCATCTAACACTAACTCCTCCTCTCATACTCCCCTTCACAGGTCCAGCGCCTCGACTCTTGCTTCTTACCTGACTTGTACTTTCCTTACTCGCAGCCATTGAACACTCTCCACTTTCCTCGATAATCTTTCTCAATCTTTCCACTACAATCTCCATCGTTGGTCGATCTTTATCGTTCTTTTTCAAACAAAGATCAGCCAGTTTAGCCAAACTCCTAGCTCCAGCAGCTGGATAATAGTTGCGTAGCCGAGGGTCAACGATCATGCTGAAGCGTTGACTATCAGCAGGATACTCTTTCACCCAATCTAATAGCTTCCGTTCAGCTGCTGGCTTGTTCCTCTCAATGGTTCTGCGTCCGGTTATGATCTCGTAGAGCACAACACCGAAGCTATATACATCGCTCTTTAACCGAAGATGGCCTGTTTGCACGTATTCTGGAGCTGCATAGCCTTGTGTTCCAACTCTCTAAGAAAATTATCAACAAGAACATTTATAAAAGAATGTAAACCGAATAGAACCAAACCTAACTGAATGCACATTACTAAAACCAACAGTACAGAAGGTAAGAAGTATTCAATTACTTACTGCAGTTGTGACATGAGTATTGTCTCCCTGAGGTCCTTCTCTTGCAAGCCCAAAGTCCGATAATTTCGGACACAACTCATCATTTAGGAGTACATTAGAGGTTTTGAAATCTCGGTATATCACCTGGTAAACCAAATATTACCACACACTATCATCCACTGAATCATCACATATTAAACTTAGAAACTATACACTAAATGTTTCAGAATCCGCCCCACATTTTCTCCCTAACGTTTCACAAAATGTCGCATTTCTGATCTACATTTCTATATATAGTCACAATAATCGAAAGGATCTATCTTAAAACCAGGTTTCTTCTAATGGGTTTCTATTTCGTTATAATGATTTTACCTTAACTTCATGTAAATAAGCCAACCCTTCAGCTGCACCAAGCATGATCTCAAGCCTTTGTTTCCATGGTAATATGCGTGATCCACGAGTGAAGAGATGATCCTCTAAGCTTCGATTCGACATGTACTCATAAACCAAAAGCCTCTCGATCCCAGTCTCACCATCTTCTGAGCAATAACCTATGAGCTTCACAACGTTTTTATGATTCACTACTCCTAGAAACTGAACTTCTGCTAGCCATTGCTTGTGACCCTAATAACACCATTACAACACAATGAAGATTAAAAGATCAAAACTTTCAGCAAAAGTTTCAGACTTTACATATAAAAACAGAGCAAAAAACAGAGAAGATTACAAAATCAAAACTTTGAGCAAAAGTTTCAGACTTTACATTTTAAAAACAGAGCAAAGAACAGAGAGAAGACCTGTAATCCTTGACGATTGAGTTTCTTGATGGCTACGACAAGTGGAGAAGAATCAGAATCTTTTGTGGTCGGAATCTTTCCTTTATAAACACTACCGAACCCACCTTCACCGATCTTAAGCTTCCTGTTAAACCCATAAGTGGCTTCACTGAGTTCTTCGTAAGTGAAAACCCTAAGATTATTTTCTCTCTCTGTATACAAGTCTCTGATACTTCGAGGAGACGGCAAAGATCTCGGCGTCTGGAGGTTAAACGACGACGTCGCGCTCTGGTTCCTCAGTTCAGGAGCTGAGTTTTGTGCTATTTCTTTTCCTTTTGTCTTGTCTTTTTGTTGGTTTCTGGGTTTGGGTTTCTTTGATTTGAACAAGAACAGACAGTTCATGTCTTAAGGAGAGAGAAAAGAGTTGAAAAGGTTGAATTCTTTTAAGGAAACAAGTGGAATTTTGGTGGAAACACTCAAAAAGAGCAAATAAACAGAAAATGATTACTTTTGATTTGATCAATTGAACCCAAGAATGTACTAAAAGACTTTTTAAAGGAGTGTTTCAAAAAAAGGTTCTTCTAATGGGAAAACCAAAATTGAGAAGTTAGATTATATGAACAGAGACAGAAACTGTGTTTTAGGACAGTGTGTGTAATGAGTTGTTGAGTAAGAGGTAGAGGTATGAACACAGATCTATATAACTACCATGAGAAAGAGATTTTTCCTGGAAAATTAAGGAAGATTCACAAGATTAAGTAAGAAGACTCTCTTTATCTCTTATTCATTGTCAAGAAAACCAGAGAAAATTTTGAGATGGGAAAGGGACAAAAAGTGTTTGCTCATCAAAAAGAAGATAAAGGAAGGAAAAGAAAAGAAGAAATCGCGTACGGACGGACGGACAGAGTTGTAGAAAAGTATGTGTGAAAGAAAAAGAAGAGGAGAGAGAGAGATTGGTTCGTTGACTAGTGCAAGACTTTTGTCATACAATTCAGACTCTGTGTAGTAAACTAATCAAATTTTAAAAACGAGGGTGTAATTGTTTTAGAATAAAAAAACTTCTTGTTCTTATGTGTTTGCTTGTCCCATGGAAAAAAAACGAATAAAAATTACGATTTTATCGTTATTATTATTCTTAATTCGTAAAATATAGATAGAACAATGAAATAAAAAAATTCTAAGGGTATCTCCAATCCAACTCCATTTTTTACTTTAAAATGGAGTAAAAATGATTATGGAGTAAGAAATGCTCGAGTAATCTATTTTTTGTTTGTTTACTATTCCATTATGGAGTTACAAATAGAGTGGGGTTGGAACATTTTTACTCCATAATCACTTTTATTTCATTTTAGAGGAAAAAGTGGAGTTTTACATTGGAGATCTCTAAGAACTGCAAGGAAAATTACAGAGACATGCAAAGGTCCGGTCAATTAACTGAAAGCATTTGCCAGTTCCTTTCCATAGTTGTAGGCACAGAGCACCGCATGAGATAGCGCCACAATCTATTTCTGATAAAATCTTATGACACTTTCTGTTTTGTCCTTGAACCTCGTTCACCGTCAGCCCTGTAAAAAAGTGTTTAACAGCATAAAGTATATCAATCTTTTTTGTTGGCAGCAAAAACAATATAATAGATTTACAGATGGTAATTGTGAAACAAACCTAGGATGAAAATGAGGAAAAAGACAGTACAAAAAGTGGATTTAATCATTTTTAATATGATAACTGGAGTTCTCAAATTATAGATACAATAAGAATAGTGGTCGCATACATTTCTATAAAAATTGTGTATACATTTATATAATACATGGGGATATACTAAGGTAAAAACATCCACACTAAAACCTTTTTTTCTTCTGTAATTACAACATATTCCTCAATAACCCCTGATAATTATACGTTTGACCTTATTTATTTTCTAACTATTTCTCCAAAATATTTTTATACTCCGGTTTTTAAATGATTTTAGAAATTTGTTTGTTTCAAATCAGATTACATTTTAAATTTCCAATGAAAATCTATATTATAATAGTACACTTTCTAGGCTCCACAACGCGCCACGTCAGCAGTTTTGTGGGTCCCATAGGTATTTTTTAAACACTTATAGTCTTCGTAAGATGATTACAAACAATGAAATACAGTTTAGTCAAGTGGTATAAGGTATCTAATTAAACATGCAAGATCGTGGGTTCAAACCACGCAGCCATCATTTATTTTTGATTTTTTTATTTAGGTTATTATCATATGGGCTTTTTGTTTGTAAGGTTTTTATGTTTTTTTATGACTTACTGTTTTAAAGATCAAAATAGTTGGATAAACCCTAAAGGTTAACGAGTTCAAACTAAAAATAGTTAAAAATGGATGCAAAAACGAACAATAAAAAAATAAAAAAAAAAGCAAGTCTCACGCGATTGCCTACGCGGATGGCTTAAAGAGCCTTAAAACTATCCTATTATAATATAGTTCAACCCAAAAATAATAAAAAATGAATCCAAAAACGAACCGACCAAAAAAAAAAGTGAATCCCACGCGGCTACCTACGTGGATGGCTTAATGAGGCTTGAATAATATAGATTAAAAGCTCAAAAGTGAAATCATTGCACATATTTCCTAATATATATTTTCAAAAAATTTGTATATGAGATAAAATAAAAAAAACAACAAAATTTAATTATTTTCGTTATTTATTTAATGAATATGTAATTTCTCTTACATTTTAATAACTACTATAATTTCATTGAAAATCTTCCTCACCATCGATTTCAGACTCTGGCGAATGGATTCCCACAGTCGATGACGCCATAAACAAAAATGCCACATCATTTACGAACAAAACTCAAACTTACAAAAAAACATATATAACAACCTATCTAATGAAACTTAAACAAAAAATGTTAACTTAATTAAGGTTATTTTCAAATTGATAAATCGTTTAATACAAATATAGAATTATATCAAGTTTTGACCTACGATATAAAAACTATTTACAGCAAAAACAAAATACCTACTTTTACACACGAAAACTATATTATAGCCTAACTATTCCTATAAACTTACTTCCCATATAAATAACATTTAACTCATTCCTAATATATTTTCAAAAAATTTGTATGTGAAATAAAATAAAATAAACAACAAAATTTAAGTATTTTTCGTTATTTATTAAATGAATATGTAATTTCTCTTAAATTTTAATAACTACTATAATTTCATTAAAAAAATTCCTCACCACCGACTCTATACTTCGGCGAATGGATTCCTCGATGACGCCGTAGATAAAAATGCCCCATCATTTATGAACAAAACCCAAACTTACAAAAAACCATATATAAAAACCTATCTAATGAAACTTAAACAACGAATATTAACTTAATTAAGGTTATTTTTAAATTGATAAATCGTTTAATACAAATATAAATACTATAAATATAGAATTATATCAAGTTTTGACATACGATATAAAAACTATTTACAACAAAAAAAAAAAAAATAGATACCTACTTTTACACACTAAAAACTATATTATAATCTAATTGTTCCTATAAACCATACTTCGCATATAAGTAACATTTAACACATTAGATATACAATATTTTCATTTTACACTCTTACTACATTCTTTCCATTTCATTAATATTTGGTGTCATTAGAAGAATCTACTAAACCACTAAATCGAAAAAATATACGCAAACATAATGATTCTGGCCCCGCGCTTGCGCGGGGAGTATGCAACTAGTTATATAAATAGTTGATATTATATGACCAATGAACATGATATTATGTACTGGTTAAATTATGAGTATATGTATACTTAATGATAGTTTTTTTAATGTAAAAAAAAATATTTATCCCCTATATATTATTTACGAAGTGATTTTGCCACATGTCCTCTCTACAATCAGTTTCACAAAAAAATGGTGACATGTCTACTAGAATTGATGACATGACATATGATTAAATATGACATGTATAATTGCATTTAATGTTAATATATATTTTGGAAAACTTTATAAAATATGGTAACAACTCATATATTAGATTTGATGTCGATTTATATTTTTAGAAATATTTTAAAAATATGGTAATAACTCATAAATCATCATTAAGAAAATATATATTCAAATATGGAATTATAAATTTCGAAAATATCATTTAATTATATATTTGAAAATTATACAATTTTATTACAAACTTTTCAAAAATGTATACCTTTTTTGAAAATTATTAAATTTAATCGTAAAATTATTAATTTATTATATATTTACAAATTTAATAAATATTGTCTAATTTGAACTTTTGAGAATTATAAATTTTTCTACAAATTTATTTAATATATTTAATTATAGTAAATAGATAAAAAATATATCTAAGATTATAATTTTTAATATATACATGCAGATTCTTAAATAAATTTAAAATAAAGAAAAATATTTTTCTATTATTTTTATGTTTAATTAAAAACATTTGTATTAAAATAGTGATAAGAAAAAGAAAATTTATAATATTAATAAAATTTTAATTTTAAACATAATTTGGAAAACTTTATAAAATATGGTAACAACTCATATATTAAATTTGATGTCGATTTATATTTTTGGAAATATTTTCAAAATATGGTAATAACTCATAAATCATCATTAAAATAAATATATTCAAATATGGCATTATAAATTTCGAAAATATCATTTAACTATATATTTTAAAATTATACAATTTTAAAACAAAATTTTCAAAAATGTATACCTTTTTTGAAAATTATTAAAATTTAATACTAAAATTATTAATTTCTTATATATTTAAAAATTTAATAAATCTTCTCTAATTTTAATTTTTGATAATTATAAATTATTATACAAATTTATTTAATATAATTATTGAAAATAAATAGATAAAAAATCTATCTAAGATTATAATTTTAAATATTTACATGCATGTTCTTAAATATAATTTAAAATAAACAAAATATTTTTCTATTATTTGTATGTTTAATTAAACAAAATTTTGTATTAAAATAGTGATAAGAAAAAAAAATTTATAATATTAATAAAATTTTAATTTTAAATGTAATTTATATTGTCTTTGTCAAAAAAATATTTTAAATTTTTTTTACTGCACCTGGTGCAGGAGAACACCTAATTAATATATATGTCTGCTTTCAAAATCGTCTTCTATTATAAGCGGAAAGAGTATCCTCTAGTGAAAAATAGAAAACAATAAATTATAAATTTAAATTATATTCCTATCTTAAAAATATGAACTGTAATCTCTTTTAAACAGAAAATTTGATCATATTCACATTTCTTCTTCTATCTTTCACATATATAATTAAATGTGAATAAATGATTTATGGTTTCGTTTTTTAAAATGTGCTTTTAATTTTTAAATATTTATCAATTTAAAGATACTAATTGGTTTTGTTAACATTATATAGAATATTATGAGATACTGTGGAATTGAATTTTAAAACATTGTGCATATTTTTTCAACATTATTATTATGCGTATAATAGCTATTTTCTCATATTTTAGATTGATAGTTTGTTTCAATATTGATTCTAGAACAATAGAGTACTAGATCTGCCATTAAATACACATATACAATATTTATGTATATAGAATCAAGTTGATACTTTATAAACAAATATAAATGTTAAAACATATATAAACGTTTTCTGCATTGAATGCATTTAACTTTAAATGAATATATTATTTAGTTGATACTATATGATTCAAGCTTGATAATGGTGAAAACGTTTGACTAGTAAGTCCATACAACCGAAGTCTCGTCTGAAGCTATAAACTTTAAAAGAAGCTATTAAAAGCGTGTGATAATAGTCAATACATGCACTTATTGGATTGAGCCATGTTGGTCTATAATTCTGTATACGATTGATAAATTATTGATTAACTAGAAAATAGGTCAATAATACAAATGATTAAACCACAACAGCAGAATATTAATCATTCCTGATAATACTCTTATCACACCAACCCATTCCTCTCTCTTGTCTGCACACATCTTGTGAGTTGTGTATTTACTATTTAGTTACTTAAATGAAATTTGTATAAAACGATTGATGGCCAAACCACGTTTCACTTTCTATAAAATGAAGATTTTTGGCTTAATATCCGTGACGTTCTATCGTATTGAATTTATGGTACTATTTCTTTTGGTGAACTGAATATTATTTAGGATATAATGCATTATACAAAACCTGGCCTAATAAGATAATGGGGTAGCCCACTATACCCAGCACTCCAACACTTAACTGAAGCCTTTAATAATTTACGGCTCTATACCAAAAACTCTACACATTCCATGCTCAAATCAAATAGCAAGACCCTTCTGTCCAAGCCCTTCAAAGGACCTTAAGAGTTAAGAACCCTAGCTATTCACATCAAAAAGAGGCTACAACCCACTCATTGGCAAACAAATCACTAAGCCAATCAAGATGATCAAAGGCGACATAAGATTGTCATATATGATGTGCACAAAAACACTGTAAAATACTAAAATGCAGAACCGTCAAATAGCTTGTTAATTAAGTTTGTCCAACAAGCCATTTGTTTCTATGGACTGTAGCCAGTTAGTTAGTTCGATATAACGTAAAATTGCTAACTCTTTGATTTATGTTTTTACACTTTTTATCAGAAGGCAAAAAGTAAAAGAAAACACAACCTAAATTACACTTGTTTGGGACTCTTATTTAGTAAAAGAAAGACTGAACAACAACACAAGCAAAGTCATAGAAGGACGACTATATCAAAAGATAAACATACATAACTGAAGCAAATAAGTTTCAACCAAACATGAAAGCGACTTGTACGTTGCACTTTGAATAAATCTGTCTCCTCAAGATCAAGAGCGGCGGTGAGGATCTGCTGTGATCCTTCTGGTCGGAACCGCCTGGCGACCACTAGGGATAGTTCCAGCTGATGAGCGACGCACCGCAACCGCTTCAAGACTTGCAGTGAACGTTCCCGAGGAACGATGCTCCGTCGTCCTCGTCCGAACCTCCTCACGATTTGCACTGACCGTTCCCGAAGAAGAACGATGCTTCAACGTCTGGTGAACCTCCTGACGACTTGTAGTGATCGTTCCCGAGGAACGACTCGTTGACGTTCGAACCTGCTGACGACTTGTAGTGATCTCCCCCGTCCTGACCTCTCCACGAGTCCTTCCTCGTGAAGTGATAGCTCCTGATGAGGAAGTACGTGTTGTCGTTTGAAAAGTCTCATGAACTGCGCTGACCACACGCGAGGAACGATGTGCAGTGATCGTTGTTGTCGCTGAAGAACGTCGTTGTGTTGTCCGAATCTCGTCATGACTTGTAGTTGTCACACGCGAGGAAGGACGGCGATCTGCTGTGATTGCTCCCGAAGATGGACGCACCGTTACGCGACGCTCCTCACGACCTAAAAAAAAAATAGTATAAGCTTTTGATCAAGAATCAAAACCTTCCATTTTGTAGGTATTTAAATAAAATATAAATCAAAATAATATAAAGTAATTTTGTAGGTATATCTCATCTCTTTCTTACCTCCATTTCTGACTGCCCTGTTGGACATCTTAGGCTCTGCAAATGGTTTCAAGTGAACTCTTTTTTTTTTTCGATGCTTGACAAATGGTCTATGAAGGAGGATTCACAATATTATATGAAGACTCGGGTCCTTCTTTGCTAAGCACATAATTTCTACGTCAACGAAAAGAAAATAAAAAAGTTAAGAAGGGAAGAAAAAACTATACGGCACTTATTTCCCCAAGTCTTCGTCAACGAAAAATATAGGTTTAAAGTTTTGGTGAGACGTGGTTTTCAATATTTCATAAAATAATTGAAACTAAAATCCAATAAACATACACATTATAATTTGATTGAAAATCTGATTCGTTCTCGCATTATAATTTGCTACAAATAATAAATGCGATGTATATGAAAATTCGGTTGCAACTTTGGATGTATTAGCATTTTTTTCCTTGCAACAAGAATATATAGCCGTCTTCCAACACTAATCGACATTTCAATAACCATTTTCTTCAACTGATCAATCGATTGTTTCATGATTTTTCTTGGATTCACACATCTTTATATTATTGGACCATCTTGTTGTCTCCTCATTGCGCAGATACTAACGTATCAATCTATGTAAAACACATTTGCTTCATATGAGAAGATCATAACGTCTAGATTTGGTAGTACTCATCTACACTAACGTTGCAACAAAATTTGTATTACTTAAACTAAATGAAACATTTTAACTGCTAGTTAGTAAGTAATTTTAGATGGTTAACTTAAAAAGTTTATTACAAAACTTCAAAGTCTAATGATTTTGAGTCGACCTTAAGTTTCCTTTTGTGGATAGTGACCCATAGATATAGTAACGGAACAAAGGAGAAAAGAATGCCCCAGTTCTCTTCTTTTAGTTTTCTCCATTCCGCTTTGTGTGGTTGTAGTTTTGTAGATGATTTTTTGAACATACAAAAGAGTCTGAAAACTCATTTGATAATTTTATTTTATTTTATATATTTATGTATGAAAATATCTACACTAGAATATTCTCATAGTAGTCGACTTACGTTACCAGCAATATGTCATATTACATTTACACAAATCATTTATTATCATTGATGTTTTCGGTAGCCTTTAGGCCCTATATATTCGATGTTGTAAAGTTACACAAACTATCCCCTATATATTATTTGAGAAGCATTACAACATTCTTTGGTAGCCACGTGTCAACATGAGAATGCTTCTCAAATTTACTAGAGAAAAATGTTGGTCCATATCCCCTATATATTATTTGAGAAGCATTACAACATTCTTTGGTAGCCACGTGTCAACATGAGAATGCTTCTCAAATTTACTAGAGAAAAATGTTGGTCCATATAAACATATAATATACTTTTTATTAGCCTAAACATAAAACTATTATTAATGCTATTCATTATTTCCTTAAATAAAATTTACGTAATTACCTAATATGGTTACAATATATATATGACAATTAATGATTTGAATATGAAGATTTGATAAAAAAAATTATAGCATCTACTATTTTTGTTAAATTTAATTATAAAAATAAATTAAACAATAAAATTAACTATATAACAAAAAATTAGATTTTTACATATGTTATATTCAAAATTTTTACAAACGACTATAAATTAAAAAAGAATTGAAAAATTTCAATTATAATATTTTTGATTAATAGTTTAAATCTCCTATATGTCGGAGCATTACAACATTTTTTGGTAGCCACGTGTCACAATGAGAATGATTTTCATAACTCTTAGAGATATATGTTGGTCCAACTAAACATACGTTTATTTTTATTATACCAACTATCATATTTAATTAGTAGTGTACAAAAGAAGATTTTTTATTCTTTCCTTAAATAAAAGCTACGGAATTACCTAATATGATTAACATATATATCACAATTAATGTTTATGAATAATAAATATTTGATAACAATTTTTTATACTCTTTATGTTTTATTTAATTTATATTATTAAAAGAAATTAAAAAATCACATTAATTATATAATAAAAATNTTAGTAGTGTACAAAAGAAGATTTTTTATTCTTTCCTTAAATAAAAGCTACGGAATTACCTAATATGATTAACATATATATCACAATTAATGTTTATGAATAATAAATATTTGATAACAATTTTTTATACTCTTTATGTTTTATTTAATTTATATTATTAAAAGAAATTAAAAAATCACATTAATTATATAATAAAAATATTTATATTTGTTCTTATACGTTATATTTTAAATTTTGTTAAACGAGCATAAATTACTTAAGATGGTAAAAATCTCACACTGAAATTTTGTGATCAATGGTAACGATTTTAGTTCAGCCAAACGTTTTTCTAATGGGTCTTAAAGACTTAAACAGTTCATAATGATTAACTAAATGGATCACCCATAATAGAGTGTGTTTTGTTTAAATTTTTTGCATACCCAAAATCAATATGAACCATCATCCATTTCGTTTTAATTTTTGGTATAATAAAAAAAATATATGGTTGGACAAAAAAAAAACTAAATCCAAATAACCGAACCAAATCTAACCCAAAAATGAATACAAATTTTTAATCAAAATTGGTTAGATATCCAAGAGAATTCGAAATTTTGGTATCTAGATAATCAAAACTGAATCGAAAAATTTTGGGTATCCGAATGTACTCGAACCAGATTTATATTCTTAAATATATTAATTATTTTTAAATTTAACATCTAAGAATATACAAAACACATGAGATGTTTTAAAAAATTCTAAAATACTTAGAAATATGTAAAATAGTTAAATGCAAAATTTTAAAATAGCCAAACGATACTCTAAATACCAAAAATATTTGAAATATTTATTGATTTTTTGTCCAAATAATTATGATAAATCAATTTTAAGTTAATTTTAAGTATTTTGTCATTCATTTTTCAAATTTATGTTATCTATTATTTCTACTTTTAGGTTTTGAAAAACTTAAAGTATATATGAATTTTAATCTTTTTTATAAAATTAAATGGGTTATGCGAACTTAAACCCAATCTGAACCTGTAAAAATTCAAACCAAACCGCAATGATCTAAACCAAACATAATCAAACCGAAACAAATAGTACCCAAATGTCCATATTGATAGCAAAATATATATATTTAAATACAACATATTTTTAAAAAGCTCACTCCGCGCATGACGCGGATTATCATCTAGTACTATATTACATGGATAGCGGAAGTAAATTTAAGTATCTCTAACTATATCGGCTAATTGCATAACGACATGTATAAGCTAAAAAAATGTAATCAACATCATAACCATCGATGTAATAGTCACAAGAATTATTCGTTAGCCCTTTACAGTTAGCTCCTGGAAATTTTTTTTTTAAGTTTCTTAAACGAGAAACCTGCCACACAACTTATTCAGTTAGATGGGTTTCCAACCTAAAACCAATTAGTGATAAGTGGAGTGACCCATCTATCTTATATATTACATAGAATCCCTTCCAACTTCCAATGTGGGACTTTGTCCCTAATACGCCTCCTCGAGATGATGGCTCTTTGGCGTCAATCTCAGAATATTCGGGTAAGGATCGATGGACCGACTTTAGGCATGATCGATAAGGATCGGGTTGATCAATTGCGTGGATCGTGGACTCTAATACCATATTAAGTTAGATGGGTTTCCAACCTAAAACCAATTGGTGATAAATGGAGTGGCCCATCTATCTTATATATTACATAAAATCCCTTCCAACTTCCAATGTGGGACTTTGTCCCTAATACAACTACAACATACAATACTGCACGTATTTGTGACTAACAAGTCACACTACTAACTTAACACACAATTACAAACACACAAAATAAGTTACTGTTCAACTTGTCCCACCCAACAAATCTTCTACCATAACACGACACATTCCTCAAATCCACAAAACCCCAACAACAACTTGAATCCAACACACATTTACAATCTGCGCGAACGGCGGACAAACCAATAGCTTATATATATATAAACATTATATGGAACAATGTAATATTGTGTCTGCCTATGATCAACTGAAATGATCGCTCTCTGGTCATGAGTCCAGAGCTCATTACTTCTGCGCTAAGGCCAACCTGCCTAACTAGAACAATCGCTTTATGGGATGAGGCTGTGGTTCCCAAGATCTGACTGGAAGGATCGCACACTAGGAATGTCTCTTTGATTTCCTCTCCCGCTCACAAAGCGTTCCTTTTGCCTCTCGTCATGAGTGCATATCCAAGAACCCATAAGACGAACCACATCATGCATCTTTACACCAAGTCCAGATTCATACTCCATCAACAAACCCATTCTAACCAAAGTCTCAATCTTCTCATAATATTTGACCTCAATTATCTCTCTTTCTTCTTCATCTTCTTCACCTATCATGCAGTCTACCAACTTTTGTTTACTTAAGTCACCATCTTCCGGAAATAGAGCACAATCAATGAAGCATGACCTGATATCCTCACCAGAGAGAATGTCATATGAAAGCTTTAAAATTGGAAGAATTGGATATTTAGTGTCTGAAAATCTAGCTGCAGATGAAACCAAAAGGTGAATTGCATGATACCACTCCTTTGCCGTACTTTTGCTTGACATGGTCACACCAATGAGATAAAGAGCATAGACTCAACATGTGATCTAGAAACTGATATATGTTGCTTTATCTCCTTCTTCTTTGAAGCCGCAGTAATATGTGGATTGAGAAAAGCTTATTTTGTTCCCCAAATCAAAGCCTGAAACTGGAGTGAGCTTTGAATCTTCTTTTGCTCATCTTTTAATAGTTGGAGATGTACCGTCTGAAGGGGGAAAGAATGCATTGAAGGAGAAAATCATACTTGGAGTGGGTCGAAATAGTTGAGAAGGTAGTTAATGGATAAGAATCAATGCATCCCGTAACGGTTCAAGGGAGAATAAACTAAGATGAATCAACACAAAAACATCTCAATCCCTCTATTTGTCACAAAGACTCGTCTCAAACCCTCCCGAAACTTCATTATCGGGTGGAAAAATAGGAGTTTGAATAA